TAGAACTTTATTATAAAGAATTTTGAAAATTAATTATATATATTTATATTTTATGTACAAAACTTTAATATTTATATTTCATCTAATTTTAAAAAAGAGAATTCTTTCGAAAAGTTGTTGGTTGTTGGATACATACATGAAAATGTTTTCATAATAGTAATATTCATTGCAAATTCAATTTATTTTTGTTAGTCTTTAATCTAATGGTAAATCTATTATAGTGTTAAATTTACTTTTTGAGCTTTTCGTTATAATTAGATTATTAAAACATTATATGACTGTTCATTGAATTATTTTATTAGAAAGTAATCATTAAAAATAAATAATTATTTTACTTAAAATTTTATTACTACCGTATTTAGTTGACAATGTAAAAACATAAATAGATTCATAATAAATGAATTATTTGTTATTGTATTGTATTGTGTTGTATAGTGTTGTTCACATCAGTTAATAACTAAGAGAAGATGTTTTTTGTGACAAATTTATGCTATTTTTCAATGAATCTCTTGGAAATCACTTTTACTCAACCATAGAGTTGGTGGTCATCTGAACCAATCAAATGCTTATTTTAACAAACAATTAATTAATCATTGAATGAATGTTTAAAATGTCGCCAATTTTCATAATTAATGATGGATTGTTCAAATGTGTCACACAATCACATGCCATAGACACTACAAGTAAAGCCAATTGCATTCATTGATGCAAATATATTTCAATGAGTGTTTAGTGTTGACACAAATGCAATGCAATATACAATATAGTTGTCATTCATTTGGTAATGAGTTTTCGATGGTTTTCATGGCATGGCATGGGATGTGAGGACAGGTTTATTGCTGGTTGGGTTGCCTCTCATCTGGTTATCTGGTGTACCGGTGTTTCCATTTATGAATCCCATGTGTTTTATATGTCTAACAATTCACTCACAAGTAACAAAATGTTTGTCAATTCAATATTATTAATAAGTCATTGATTTCAAATGCAATAAATATATTATTATTACGTATTGAGCAATAATTTAATGTATAATAATAATAATATAATTGTCATCATTTGGATGAAAATGTGTTCAAATGATTTGATTATAACTGAAGACAGTGTGAACGACATGAATGGTATGAATGGTGTAAATGTGAAGAATTGGCACCATTTGGATCATTTGGATCAATCATTGAATGCTTAAATGCTTGATTCAATTCAATGAAACTTTCCATGAATTGCATTGCAATGGCATTACTGTATCATACATTTGACACAACATTTCCACAGTTTGCTTATCCAGTCAAGCGATGAGTTGGCTTTCAATTAATAGTGTTTGCCATGAGATGAACAGTGAGCTCAGAGAGGTTAGGGAGGTTAGGGAGGTAAATGAGGTACATTATGAATTTCTAATATATTGATTAATATGTATTATTCTGTTTTGTTTGTATAAACGAGACAAAAGTTAGTAGTTTTGAGTTTATTAAGAGTTGAGCCGAAATTGTTTTATAACTTTGATCTAATCGTCAAATATTGACCACAGATTTGTTTTGATGACAACTTAATGAGATAGAGGCGCCCGTGGACTCCAGTGTCTCATTCATTGATACATTATATTGTTTTATAAGATATGATTTGGTAATCCAATATCCAATTATCCAATTATTACTTATAATACAAATAATGGTTGAGTAGTTGAGTAGTGTTCAAGTGTAATGTATGGCACATATTCTAGAGTTATATCTAAAGTCTAGTAATAATAATAATAATAATATAATTATATTAACTATTGATTGAATAGAAAGCATTCATAACTAACAGAGCAGTCATTATCAGCGCATTATAACGACGTCTGGCGCCGACCGCGTCGTTTCAAAGGGTCGGTGCCGATGACCAGTTTGTGAGCCGGTGTTCATCTCAATGATGGTTTGGGCCCGGAATCGATGGCTTCTGGCATTTAAAGGCACAACAGTGTCGTCTTCGCCGCAGTACTCGTCGTCGTCGTCGTCATCATCGTTGCCGTCGATGACACTGACGTGCGGTCCGATGGGCACCGAAGCCGAGCGACTGTACTCTGGCTTCGCTCGCAGGGCGTAATCGGGCGACGAATTGGGGTTATGTTGGGAACAGTCCGGGCGATGCATTTGGGGCACCGACTGATGCATCTGTTCTACGCCTCTGTCGATGAGGTGGTGATTGTCATCGGATGGCGAACACGAGTCTAATTTGCTGGCGTCTAACGGAACAGTTCGTTGTCTTTGTCTCATGTGACTCAACATCGGTGGCGGCGGTGGCGGCGGTATTGGGCTCTCGGAGCTGCTTCTGATGGAGTCTCGTTGCTGTTGATGAACGTAATAATGGGTACAATCGGGCGATATCTGGTTACCAATCATGGCGTGTGTGGGCGACTCGGGGGAGAACTTGTCGTCCAGGAGTTGCTGTGGTTGTGGTCCGCCATTGGGTTGTTTGCGAAACACATTAATATCCATATCGGGGACATAACAACCGTTGAGGTCGTCATCACGAAAAGCGCCGCCTTTTCTGGTGATGGCGTTTGCGGTTATGATTTTGCGGGTCCGGCCGCCGGAACCTAACACTGCCTGTTGTTGTGCTGCCATTTCCTGCTCGAGTGCCTGTCTGTCGGTGCGGTCTAAGCTCGTGATAGTCATCGTGCGGTCCAATCCCACCTCAACGGACGTCTCTCTGGATCGCCTCAGTTTGTAATCACGCTTTCGTTGTCTCCGTTCCTGTATTTTACTCCAACACGAGATGGTAATGGAGGCACACATTCCCAACACCAGCGCACAGAACACCACCAAAATGACGACCATATGCTGCGATGTGAAGTTGAATATACCACCACTCGCTACATACCAGGGTATAACATGAATCAAATCAATCAAGCAATTTTAGTTAATTGTAACTATAAATATACAGAGGCCTGCTGTATGAAGTTGATACTAAATTATTAAACTGTAAATTTCATAGATTTCCTATGATTTCAGTGCTTTGTATCTTATAATTATTAGTGAAATAAATATTTAAAACACAACTTCTAGTTACACAACAATTCCCTATCAAACAGCTTAATTATATTCATGCTATCTTATCCCACATTAGATTAGGTTAGTACTGTATAGCGTCATTAACTAGTATATTATAATTAAACAACCATTGTATAATTTATGAAGTTTATTTAACTTATTAGCCTCAATTACGTCTAAACGTAAATGATAATTAGTAAATAGAAACAACTTGGACAATTTTTGCTTTATTCCCTTTGAGTTCAAAATATTGATTAAATATATGATAGTTTAAGTAAAGTGACCACCAGTTAGTTGACCCTCTCTTATCAAAATCCACTTTGGTACTTTCAAATCGTATTATTCAACCTTTGTAGTTGTATCTGGGATATATAATCCCATACTAATGACATAAATATTAGAATTAATATAATATTATGTGATTTTGTCTATTACAATCATTACTGTAAATTTAATATGTTATTTGTGATTATGTGATGATTATAGGAGTGAATATGATTGTATAAATTTTACAAATATTCAGTTTAATACAGGTTCTAATATGGATATTCAGATTCTTAACTATTATTTGCCAGGTTTTAGAAGTCAGTGAAGAGTATATAAGTAATGACTATGAGAGGGTCAGTGATGGCTATATCGAGATAGACTCAACAATTTGAGTAAAAAAGGACCCTTCATTAAAAATAACATGACGTCTATGAAAGTAATGATGAATTAAAGGATTATTTATTATTATTATATTAATAAATGCAAATTATTATACATAAGACGTTGATGACATACCGGGAGCACAGGTAGTCTGTTTGTCCTCATCGTATCGATATTTACAATTGTCATATCCATCGCATCTGAGGCTGTAATCAATACAAGTGCTGTCTTCACAGTCGAATTCATCGGTTCGACATTTTTCTGGTCATAAAACAAATGATATACAGATATATTTGACTATATGTACAGTACATTCACATATTGTACAGAATGTATGTATGTATTTAGTCATTTGTTGCCAATGTTAGTATATAATACTATTAGTGGATGCTATTAATGTGTATTGATTGGCAATGTTTGGTAATGTATGTGATGTGTGAGCAGTGTTTGGATACCTTTGTTGGTGAGCTCTCGGAAGGCAGTGAAAGTGATCTCAAACTGAACGCTCTGAAGGGCGTCGTGTTTGGCGAAGAACCTGATGTTCATTGTATTGGATTTCGATCGCACAGACTCTGCTTGAGTGCCACAGAACCGGTACTCCCGGGCCAACTCACTCAGCTTATCGTTATATACATCGATGTAATTGGATTCACAATTGTTTGGGTTATTCAGCTTATATTCCTTGAAATTCAAATACATCTGCAAAATGCAACCAATTGTTAATTCAACAGGTCTTCTCATATGTATTCACTTAATCATCAATTATCAATTTGTATCTGGATCAGTTTTACTTTTAAATTACTAGTTTAAAAGTTTACAACAATTAGATAATAATTTTTAAAATTCAATATCAAACTTATAAATTTTGAGTTGATAATTTATCATTTACTGTACTGTAGTTACTGGTTAATAACAATAACTTATTTGATACAATAGTGACTAATGTTATAATATTGACTGTTTTGTCACTGTTAATGTGAACTGGATCACAATGTATGCGCATCACTATTGAATAGTCTATTTGAATGATAATTGTAGTATGTGCTAATAGGTAATAGGTACTAGTTAATTGGTACCTTATATCCGGGCTGTACTGTTATATTCCACATGCAATCGATAGAGATTTCTTGAGCGATGGAATAGTTTTGTAGTTCAGCTGGAATTTCCTTGTGGTGTATGAGTCCACTCACACCAGTCTTATTGAATCGACATTCTGTGTGAACACCAAATTTTAATCAATATTTTGTTATAAATATAAGTGAATAGAGAGAGCAAAACACACTAACCTCTCGGAGGTTCAGGCCTTTCGGCTAACCAGAGAGAAATAGACAGCAAATGGAGAAATAGGGCGAAGAGAGAGCATAAGAGAAGGGATGAGAGGATGAGAGCAATGCCAACAAATGAGACATATTTCATAATTTGCTAATTTTATAAATGCAATGTAATGCTAAATAAAGTCATTAACAGGTTTGCTTGTTTGAGCAAACATTTAACAATACATTTTAATAAAATATAGTATACTGTACATGTATATTATATTTTAGTAACGCATATTGAATATTTAATTTAAATATCTCAAATACTTTAGTATTAAATATATTAAGAAACAATTTTATCTATATTCTTAAATTATTTATCTAATTGTATTCAGTATATTTATAAAAGTTATGAATATTAAATAAATAAAATATTTAATAAATAATAATTATTAATTTAAAAATAAATAAAAGAAAATCAACAAGTAAAAAATTAATTAATATACTGTTCTAAATTATATACAGTTAAACTCATTGAAATAATAATTAAAACTTTTATGTTTATTTGAAACATAATGATTGTATTTATTTAGAGAATGATGTATATAATTAAATGTATAAATTAAGAACTAGTTTCAAATGAATGGAGGAATGGGAGGAAATGGAGGAGTGATGACTTACTGGGAAGCTTTTTGAATGAGTAGACGGCTCTGAATCCGGAATATTCAATGCTTTCGTCGGATACAAACCGTAGAAACAAATAGCGATCATTAGAACTGATATCTCGTGGGAATTCATGTCCACACAGTTTAGCGATGGGATTGGAGTAGCCATAGGCGCCGTCACGGATCTCCAGATAATCGTATTCACAATTGGTTGCCTCTTCCAAGTGGAACTGATCACGAAATTCGATGCTTATTTGGTGGCCGTGAGGGGCTGGTAGGTCACCAACAACACATTCACACCATTATTACGGTTATATCATTTATATAAGTAACATATAGTATACTAGTACTGTACTGTACTGTACAACATACTGTACACTACGAGTCTTCACTGACTAGTGAGTGGAGTTTGACTCAAATAATTCAGTTTAATGAACATCAATTTCAATTATACTAACTATATGAACTAAATCTACTAAATTGTTACTGCTAAATATGCTTAGATCAATTTAATATATAATCAAATTCATCTATTCCAAATGAATTTTTAAATATATTTATTTAGCTTTTAGTATATTTTTATTTGAACATAACTCTAAGAAAATTAAATCTTAAAAACTAACTAGAATTTGCTATTATTGTTATAAATAGTATCGTATCCAGAGTTGAAATTGTAATATTAAGGATTAAATTACTGTTTTTTAAAACTCATTCCGAGACATAAGATATTATCTAATACTACAATTGTATTTATAAGTTAATATGCAAAAAGATCTATCGATCAATTAAATGGAGAATTATTGATAGAAAATTTTACATTAAAAGAAGAGTTTACTCATTCAAACAAATAAAAGTTTTCAAACTTACAATTAGCTTACATTCATCGCACATTCATCAAGTACAATACTAATGATTAAGTCTACTTTTATTGTAAAATTTTCTATCAATAATTCTCCATTTTTATTCATCGATGGATCTTTTTGCATATTATAAATACAATTATTACTAAATTATTAAAATTTAAACTGATTTTCTACATAAGTTTGTCTAAGTAATCAAACTGATCTGGATTAATATTATAAATATATTGACTTGGTTATAATCCATTGAATTTACGAGAAAAATTGCTTAAAAATTAATTTTAACATAATTATACATAATATCGTTATTTATTTCATGAATACGAAGGGTACTGAACATAGGACCTAGTTCTCATAAGTGTATTATAAAGCTAAAAGGTACAGTAATATTAAAACAAAAGTAAGTATAATATATGATTCATATACAGATGTACAGTACATTCTGCTCATATGATGAAAGAATATGAAAATATAATGTATAACATAATGGAATTGAAAGTTGAATAAATAAATGTTTAAACATGATGTGAATAATTATGACAATTGGTGTTACCTTTGATAACTCGTTCACATTCCGTATCATTTGGATAATTGTTTGGATAATTGGGTGAAAAGAATTCAAAAGATCCGGAGTTTCCGACAGTGAAGTTGAAACAGTTTCTACTCTTTTCAGAGTCTATTCTGGCGCTCAATGACTGTAGTTTTGGCACTTCTTTGGCTGCAATACATTCAATATATCAAATATTAATATAATATAATATAATATACATATTTTCACATATCATAATGTATTAGTATACGTTATCATTGTTTATCACTTCAATATTTAATCATTTAAATAATTTATATAATATAATAATCACAAATACAAAAAGCATAGAAGCAGTATTGGATGTATTGATTGTGTTGGAAATGACACCAAGGATATTTAAACTTTTCTTTCACATGAGTGTTACAATGCTAAACAATAGTGTTTAGTCCAGACGATAACATCTTAGCCACTATTAGTAGCGTTCGCAGGTCTACAATGTCTACAATGTCTACAATGTCTCAAATTTAAATTTCTTGAGAATGACTAAAAAGTCTGTAAATATTTTTTGAGATTTACTTGAGTTATACATTTATTATATTAATAGTAATATTTTACTAAATACTCTTATGATATAATTGTACTTATAATACAGTATTATATAGATTACTAATTTATTCATTGAAACAATTGTTAACGTTAATTTATTGCATGTAGTTAAAATACTTATATACAAAAATTTTATTTTTATGCTGGTAGTTCTGATACTTATGTTATAAAGTAACTGTATTTAAATTATAGAAATAGTCTTCAGGATATTTAGTAATATTTTAGATTTTATAAATTTTTTCAAATTATGCCTTTGTAAAAATTCCTTGAGATTATATTGTTTTAATTTTTTATTAGAGTTTATGACAAATTCTAAATATTATTTTGATTAGATTTGTAAATATAGCACTTTCTCAAGTAATTGGGACATATTATTTAAGTTGTCTAACCCCATATAAATCAAATGAACGGAGTGAAATCATTTTTAAATTGAGAATGGAAATTTAATAAGTTTTTATGATAAATCAAGGAATATTTAAGTTTAATTATAGTATTTTCTGTTAAAATTAAGCAAAATTATAAATTAATTCTATAATTTCCCGATTCCTTGATTGTCTCATATCACAATGCGAACGTAATATGTGAACAATGCCTAAAACTTATAAAATTTAGTACTATAAGATTAGTTGATGATAGGATTAGCTGTTTAGATTAATACAATAGTTGAGATTTAATTGAATTTCAATTCAAATCTTCATGTAATTTTGGAGGATCATAATTTTTTAAATCTACTGTATATGTTGAAAATTATATGAACACAGTCTTAATTGTGTTTATAATGTTAAATTCTCCATTGAAGATCACTAAATACCATATAAATTGATTAAGTTTAATCAAAAATTTTGTTAAATCAAATAAAAATAAATTTTTAATATTTAAAATAATAATTTAATTTGTGTCCTCTAAAACTCGACCATTCAATGCCTAATTGTGCCTTCTGCCCTCCAATCCCTCCAAAAGTGTTGGCAAAACTAGTGCTGACATTACGGATTTGTTCAATCATGAAAACAACAAACATATTTGGACTATTTATATACAGTATTAATGTTAAATAATGATTAAACTAAGTAAACTATAAGAACATCACTAACTGATCAATTTAATCTAATGTTATTATTAGTATTGATTATAAATTGAATTTAAAATAATTTATATATATTTTTAAATTTCTGTATTTAAAACTGTTTAAACTTTTAAAAAGTTATTTTTATAAAGAATAAGATTTTTGTTAATGTAATATTCAATAAAGTATTTTCAAAAACACTAGAAACGAAAATACATCTAGGTAACTTCAATTATTGATTGAGTAATCATTGTATTATTTTCAGAGTAAACGTATACTTATTTATATAAATTATTTGTTGTGATAAATTATATTTAGATTTTGAAAACAAAATTGTTTGATATATGAATTGAAAACATTTGAACCCATATTGAAGAGTGAGAGAGAATTTGCAAAAGAGATGCCATTAAACACATTAAACACATTAAACACATTAAACACATGAGACGTAATGTTATATTTTGTGCGCTCTTTATCTTATTGGACATAAAACTTAAAGTCTTGAAGGCATAGACCAAAGACATAGTTTGATGGAAAGGAGGGTATAGTATGTATAGTAAGCATAGTGTATGTAATTTTGGTATTCTTCATGAAGCTTAGTGTATATGGTATACAGTATACAGTGTATGGCATACAGTGTATGGATGTATGGATGTGTAGAATCTAATAAATTATCGATATTTCCAAGCAATAGATTCGCTGCGTTTACAAGCATTAGGTTTTGTTCAATAGTTGGTGTTTCACAGCCAACCGACACAACAACACCAGTATTACCAGTACTACCAGTACTACCAGTGCTGTTCATACATTATAACATTGCTGTACAGTATATGAGTATAAAACGTGAACTGAATTATTAACGGTTAGTGTATTCTCAATGCTTAACATAAAAATTTACAGTCTATACAAGATTAGTATTAACTCATTCAAGAGATTATAATAATTTTTGGTTTATATGACAGAGACTTCACTTTCACTATGGGTTACATAAAATTAATGAATTATGTTATCTATAGATATAATATTATGTGAAATATAAAACTCTTCAATGCCTTGAGTTGAGTGCAAGCCTAAGAAAAGTTCATTTTATTAAAAGCAATATTATTAATATGAATAATGTATGGACTATACTATAGTGTACAGTAGTGTACAGTAGTAGAGAGTATAGCGTATAGAGTATGGAGTGAACAGAGATTCGCATCTTCTGTAGTGAACCCAAAGCCCAGTCTATGACTCTTTGACTCAATCTATGACTGAGTTGTAAGACTCAGACTCAGCTATAATCTCATCAATGCTTCCAAAGCAATGCATTCACTACTTAAAAGTCTATCTAAAAAGCATTTTATCTGACACTTGATTTTATTTAATAAGGAATTATTCTTTTATTATTTGTTAAGTTTAGTGACAAAAATTCAACAAAACCCTACTCTAGACGATTAAACTCTACAGAACACTATACAATGCATAACATTATCATTTGCCAATTAAAACCCCAAAATTACTCTATTATTATGCATACTACCTGTACTATACTTTACTGTATTTTGGTAAAATCAGTTTTTGTAAAATAATCATGCAATTAAAATAAATTCTATGCAATTTTTGAAATCATAAAAATACAACAAAAGTATTAGTTACTCACTATGTTGTAATACCCTAACAGTTGACATTTGATTGAAAATTATGTAAACGTTTATATAATTTTAAAAATATTCTATATACAGTATAATAGGTTCATTAATAATAATTCATTATACAGTATTAATTTGTAAATTTAAAAATTATGAGAAGCAAATCTTTTTATTGATAAACAAGCTTTGAAGACATTTTTATTTTTGAGTCAAAATTGTGAATAGATTGCATTTACTATAGTGTATAGTGTTATGTAAAATATTATCAAAGTTGTGTTTACATGGAATACATAATATTCTGTACAGAACTGTATTGTATTATATTATATACTGTAGTAAAGGTTCCTATCAATTTCAATATAACACACATATATATATAGAATATATAGAATATATAGAATATATAGAATATATAGAATATATAGAATATATAGAATATATAGAATATATAGAATATATAGAATATATAGAATATATAGAATATA